AAGTACCCATTGTATTTGATTGTATTCTAACAGGACAGTAAAACATCTAATTAGCAAATGTTGTTTTCCTTAAAGCATTTCCAAACAGGAAATTTCATGCCAATCATGAAAGGAAAGCATTCTTTCTCTCATAAGCCACCAAGGATCATATAAATATCTTTGCATCTGCTCCGAAGAGCGATCGCTAATGACGTCTCTGGCAAATGTTTTATTTGTGAGGAACTCTCAGAAGAGTTCTGGGTAGTTTCGGTATGAGTTCGGTAGACATTACTTGCAAAAATATTTGTGTACGTGGGAATGCAGTATTTAAAGAACATGTTGCTTTGGCTAGATTTCATCAGTTTCCGCCAATATATGAGGATATTTCTGTGCTTATTTCACACTTCACTTGGCTTCCAGGGACTCTTCAAATCCATCCCTTAATTTAGGTGCCATGTGAAAGTATTAAGTCTAAAGGAACACCTTTCCTAACATTGAATAGCCCTCCCCTGAGTAATTGGCATACAACATTGGTTTTGTTTTTGAACCAGGTTTTGATATTTATACAGTAGGACAGCTGAAGAAGTATATTTTATTGCAGTTCAGGAATAAACCATCTTGTTTGAATAGTATGGTTGTAGGCAGCAAAGATCAAACATATCACATTAAAGGATCTATGGACAAAACATTCATCATGGTCCTCATTGCGTAATATTGATTAGGAAGCTGCATGAGTTATTGATAGATGCAAACTATCTTGTACTAATTTATCTTTTTGGCCTTTGTTATTTATTCTTATACATTGCCACAAGAATTATGTAGTTTTGTCTATGTGGTTACTTCTAGCAGCTGAATGTCAAATGGTTGATAAATACAGATGTACTAACTTCAGAAGGTACTTTTTAGTTAAAGTAAAATGTCAATACTGCTAGTTTGTAGTTAAAATCATAGGTAATATTTCCACTGAATTAAAAACACAAGAATAAGTAAAACCATCAAGTGTTTGGTGTTATATATTTACCTTCAAATTAGGAAAATAGTTATTTTCTACTAGCCTTTATCTATTATCATTCTCTTAATATTTTCTGATGATCATATGATTGCTTACTCCTTTAATTTTCCCAGTATTAATTTCCTAATGAACTATGATATTTCTTTATGTTAATTATATCCCTTTTACAAAGAGCAGTGTAATTCAAATTGTTTAAAGCTCTATGTATTGTTTCACATTTTAAGGATTTTAGGTTATTTCTACAATAGTGTCAGTTTGTAAAAGGTGCTTATGAAAAATTACTTGGAAAATGCAATACTCTCTAAAAGTGACACTTTATATTTAATCTTACATTATCACAGTAGGCGTAACATTTTGCTCTCATTTTGCTCTCTCATCTCCACACAGGCATAGTTGTACAATGAGAGGCTACATTCACATATAGTAGTAGAGGAAACAGCCCTCTGAATTTGCTGCCACTTTTAGAAATTCTATCAAATAATGGCCAAATACCTCACCATCTCTTAATATCATATTCCCTTTTTTAAATTGTTCTGGGAAACGATACTGTTGTTCAAGGAGAAGAAGAGCATGTTAATCTCTGATTGGCTCAGACTCAATCTAGGTTCCTAGTAAAATATGTTGGGCCCATGTCTAGCTAAAGGTGATTGATGGGGACTCTTTCAGACTAAGTTTTGCTATTACATGTTCACAGGGCCAGAGTAATACTTGAGCCTGGGAAATAAGCCTGCCAAAATAGCTTTAAAACTTTTTGCCCCCCAAACTTCTTTAAAAACTGTTCTCTAAAAAATTCTGTACTGTATTTCCCCCTTTTTAAAAAAATATATTTTATTGAGTTTTTACAGAGAGGAAGAGAGAGGAATAGAAAGCTAGAAACATGGATGAGAGGGGAACATCGATCAGCTGCCTCTTGCACACCCCCTAGTGGGGATGTGCCCACAACCAAGGTACATGCCCTTGACTGGAATCGAACCTGGGACCTTTCAGTCCACAGGCCGATACTCTATCCACTGAGCCAAACCGGTTTCAGCTGTATTTCCCTTTTAAAAATATGAATCTTTCGAATCTTTCAACCATGCTCCTGGTGACAGATGGGTTTCCTTTAAGTCAAAGCATGGTTTTGTTTTTTGTTTTTTTTTTGTTTGTGTTTTTCTTTTTTTTTGTGTGTGTGTGTGTGTCAGAGTTGGGGGGCAGTTCTTTTTTTTTTTTTTTTTTTCATTAAACAAAAGCTACTGATTACTTCCATGTGAAAATAAAGAGCCATAGTTTCACCCTTGAAAAAAAAATGGATCAGTAATAAAAAAATAATATATACAAATAAGAAAGAGGTTTGTGGAAAGATTATTAGAAGTATTTTTGCTTTGACAGCTCTAACTCTGTTCCTCCCATTGTCAGGACACTAAGTTCTGACCAAGGTCATAAGTTTGCTATCCAGGAGTTTGTGTCCAAGAAGTGAGGGGATGAAAACTTTTCTTCTTAAGATGCTGAGCTAACAAATTTATGAATTCTTCAGGACATTTTTTTTTTTTTTGGTCTTCTTTCTCATCTATACTAATAAAAAGGTAATATGCTAATTAGATCAGACATCTTCTGGAGGACCATCCAGACGTCCTTCTGGAAAAAGCCACGGTGGTGAGGGCAAGGTAGAGGTGGTTAGGGGAGATCAGGCAGGCAGGCAGCTGAGTAGTTTGGAGCCAGGGGTCCCAGGTTGTGAGAGGATGCAGGCCAGGCTGAGAGACACACTCTCCCATGCACAGATTTTGTGTACTGGGCCTCTAGTCACATATAGTTTTGTAGCTATATGTGAAATATGTCAATATGAGCTTGATCTTTTATCTGTTTTAGAGTTAGCATCCTTTAAAGACTCCCCCATAGTCTCCTCACATAATTTAACAATAAACTCAAATCATCAGAAATATAGCAGCTTAGTGGCATTTGTTTTAATGAAATATATATCTTGTTCCTCAGGACCTATAAAATCCATTTTTATTTGCTATTTCTTGAAAGAACTTTAGAAAACATTAAAATCATAGAGGACTTGGTTAATTAGAATCAACTTTTTTTATACAAGTTATTTCTCTTGCCTATTAATTTTTGTTCTTATAATACATATGTAAACATTTTTAAGCTATCAACCATGAGCAGTCTATGGGTCAATCTTCAGCCACTTTATCATCTCAATTTGAATTTCCTTTTAACTTAGGATAATTCTGAGGCACTTTTTTTTCTTAAAGTAGGTACATAAAAATTAAAACATTTAAAAATGAGCTGATGTTATTAAAGGCAAATTTGTAGAAATCTGCATATATAATACAACATATTCTAGTCTTTGGGATGGTTGTTAACTAATCTTCCTCCTTTTATTCACAAAGCTTCATAGAATAGCTTCAAACTATGTAATTTCCATGGAATTTAATGAAATAAAGCATTCGCCACATGAAGTAGTAATTATTTGTAATAAAAAATATAAAGTTAAATAAAAGTGAAAAGCCATTAAAAACTTTACTCTATTAAATAAGGAACACTTTTATAGACATCCTCGGCCTCTAAGGCCATGTCTAATTTTGACCTCTTCTTTGGAGAACTGATACATCTAATTCCTGATTGAATAAATCAAAGACATTTATTCAAATTTTAAACTGTCCAGGAGGGTGTCAAATTGAGTTTTATCCAATAGTATCTTGAATGCCATTGGAATTGCAAAGGTAACTGAGGAGTTTACATTGAATTTCTTTTGAATCATAAATATTTTCATGTATGTTTAGAGAAGGGATATGAATTTTGGTTGCTCCAGAATGTTTTGAGTTATATTTTGTTTGAGTAACATTAAATACAAAAATAACGTCCAAGTTGTGGTAAAAATTTAATTTTTTTTTAATTTCTTACTGAAATTTTCATGATCGTCATAAAAAAATGGTAAGAATTACAGCTGGACTAAGAAAAGAGCTAGAACAACTAATTTGTTTTTTATATGGCAACAAGTTTATTAAAAAGAAAAAAATTAGTACATCAGCTTCAAATATATTTACACTATTAGAGAAAAACCAAGGTTAATACCATTACCAACTTTTTATGCATTTAAGCAAATTAATTTTAGGAATAATTATATAGTTATTTCATAAACATACATTTAGCATATATGTTATAGTGACATATGGAAAATAATGACTTGAAGAACTTTTCAAGAACAACCTTATTTTACATTTGAAAGGAAATTTGTAAAGGAGATGGCCATAATGATAAGTTGACTTTTTTTTTTTTATAACTTTAATCTCTAGACTGACATTAATTTTACTTTTCTTAACAGTTTTTTAGTGGCCAAACTTAGAACAAAGTATTTTTTCATTTTCCTACTTGATCACTATATTGCTCCTAAAAGTTTTTCAATTTCCAAAGAAAAGTGATTATAAGTCACATATGGGATACTTAAACATTAATAAATAGAGTAACTTTATATCTAAAGTTAAAACATGAGTAGATAAATCCAGGAAATTTAAGAATTACCAGTTGATGTTTTTTTAAACTGGTCTAGATGAAGCCAAGCTAAAATATTCTGTTTTATATAGAGAAAAATTTCACAGGCAGGTCCACCATGTTTACTTGCTCCGTTAGGTTGAGTGGGATAGTAATGATGATATATTTATTTTTATTTTTAAAAATATATTTTATTGATTTTTTTTCAGAGAGGGAGAGAGAGGGATAGAGAGTTAGAAACATCGGTGAGAAAGAATCATCGATCAGCTGCCTCTTGCACACCCCCTACTGGGGATGTGCCCACAACCAAGGTACAGGCCCTTGACCAGAATAGAACCTGGGACCTTTCAGTCCACAGGCCAACACTCTAGCTACTGAGCCAAACTGGTTTCGGCAATGATATATTTAATATTTATTCCACTCTATTATTATAAAAATGTATGTGACAAAATATCTGGGTAATACAAAGCAAATGAACACTCAGAAGGATGACAGTTTGAAAGATTTTATTAATTTGCATTTCTTTAATCAATAGCTCACAGTACTATGAATGACACCAGAGTCCCTATGGAAACAACTGAATGCATTCAAGGTCAAGGAGAAGGTTATCGAGGAACCATCAATACCATTTGGAATGGGATTCCATGTCAGCGATGGGATTCCCAGTATCCTCACCAGCATGACATAACTCCTGAAAACTTCAAGTGCAAGTGAGTAAATTTGGCCAAGATTATAAAAGTGCAGTAAGCTCTGGGAAAATGAGGTTGGGTGGTTACTTTTCACTAATTTTTGTGTTAGTGATCCTTAAACTTTAGTGTGCTAGGGATAAGCAAAAGGCAGATTAATCGACTTAGAGATTTTGATTCCTTAGGTCAAATATACATTTTTAACAAGCATTCTAGGTAATTCCAAATCAGATGGTTTATGTACCATGCTTTGGGAAGCACACATACAAGTTTCTAATCACAGTTTTGTTCTTTTCTTTTCTTTCTCTCTCTCTCTCTCTCTCTCTCTCTCTCTCTCTCTCTCTCTCTCTCTCTCTCTCTCTCTTCCTTTCTTTCTTCCTTTCTTCCTTTCTTTCTTTCTTTCTTCTTTCCTTCCTTCCTTCCTTCCTTCCTTCCTTCCTTCCTTCCTTCCTTCCTTCCTTCCTTCCTTCCTTCCTTTCCTCCTTTTCTTTCCTCCCTTTCCTCCCTTTCTTTCCTTTCTTTCTTGTGTCTTTTAACATTTTTATATTTACTTTAGGTGAGATTACATACTTTTTCTCCTGCAAAAAGAGGAATACCTTATTTTCAGCTAATATTGTGAACTAATGAATTTTTGGCCTTGAAGCAAACTAATCTTTTAAATGTTAAATGAATATTTTATATTGTTTCTAGATTTTCTTTTTAAAAATGGGGAAGTAAAACATTTATTTAGATGAATTTAGCCAAAGAAACTTCCCTTGAATGTCAATTATTTGGTCGTATGTGCCTTCTCTGGGGCTGCTTTTTTTCACCACTTGACTTGTTGGGCAGACACAGCCACAATGCCATGTGTTTTTAAATGGTCCACCTTGTTATGGGGAACATAAAATGATTGCTTTTGAAATTTATAACACACGTGTCATTCATAGTGCCTTGCTGAAATAGCACCTATAAATAACATATATTGGCTTTATGTAATTGGATTTTAATAAGAGAGCTTAGCATTTCAAGATGGAGAATTTTGAGCACTAGTCAGCCAATCTACTGGAGAAGGGAGATATTTCATGTTTTTCTTTTTAAGTTAATTTAATATATTTACTGAGATGATAAATATTCATCGCTTATGAGTTTTTTCATTATTTTATTTTAGTTGTTATTCTGGGTTTATTTTCCACCATATTTTTTTCACAGTAGTATACATTTTATTCCTGACCTATGTGTTTCACACCTCAGAAATAAATATCAAAGTAAAGAAAGCAAAGAATATGAAAAAAGATTAGTTTAGAGAGATAGAGAAGACACTGTCAGTGCCAGTCACACTTTCTGTTAACTTCTAAGACTGGTAATACTCAAGTAAGAAATCATGTATGTGTCAATACCCAATTAAATTTATTTGTAAGAAAAGAATAATAATGTAATTCACACATTCACAATTAAAAATTACCAAGAGCTTAGTTGTTATTTATCAGAATTTAAGCTATCTTTATTTATTTGGTAAGTAAATGTGCTAGTCAGGTGTCTGTGGTTGCATTAAACACCATTTGCCACAATACTGAGACTCCTTACAAATGACAATTTTAAAACTATCACTCAAACATAGTGCCGGTGATGAATCTACATAAATTGTAAAATAATTAACTTGTTTTAGGAACTGTACACAATTCTTCAAGTGAAGGGAAAGATCATAGGAAAAATATTTGGGCACACTTTGACTCTCATGCTTGCTTAATCTAGATTAACGAGGTGCTTCTAGATACAGATTTTTGTGTGTGTTAAATAATTTTTTAATTAAAATTTTTGAGGTGACATTGGTTAAGAAGATAATATAGATTTCCAGACACCTCTCCCAAGAAGACATATAAATGGCCTACAGATATGTGAAAAGATATTCAACCTCACTGGCAATTAGATTTTGATTTTTAAAGTGGGCCTAACGTAAGACTTTTGTTAGCCTTAGAACGCTAATGATCTTGCCCTAAGTTTAACTAAGCAATTCTTTATCTGAAATTACAAAACTGCAAAAATTTTATGCAAATTTAATGCACATATTTTGTACTGACATACATTTTTAAAACCTAAATATAATTGTTTGAAAAAAAATAACAGATTTTCTTTACCTTTCCAGTTAATAATTTTATTATTTTATAAGAAGGCTAAAGGCTTGAATAGTTATAACCTATGAAAACTTATTGTACTGTGGCCTTAACTATTGGCAATCACTTTTATTATAACCTTAAATAACAAAGTTTGTGACAGGATGTATTTTTACTGGATAAATTATTGTTGATTTTATAATCAAACCCAAGCCTCTTCCTTAAGAACTTCTCAGTTTCTAATAGCTTATTTTTGTATCAATAAAATTCTAGTTCTTTTAAAAAAAATGTGTCTTTATTGATTTTTAGAAAGAGAGAGGGAGAGAAACATAAATGTGAGAGAGAAAACTTGACTGCTTGCCTCCTGCATGTGCCCCAAACGGGGAAGGAAACCCTCCACTTGGTACATGCCTTGACTGGGAATGGAACTGGTGACCCTTCAGTGCACGGGACAACGTTCAACCGACCCAGCCACACCAGCCAGGGCAGTACTTCTGATTGGACCTACGTGATGTAACTAATGTGGCTTCAATAGATTGAATATCCATTTTGTCAAATTATTATTCACAGATCTAAGAAAAGACAGTACAAACTTGCTTCAAATTAGAGAACATGTTTAGGAAAGCAAGTCACAAAATTCAGGATTTTGTTTGAAACAAACTTTATATTAAGGTTTGCATTAAAATACTTTTTGTAGACAGAGAATATTTGTAGAGAATTTTTCCTTATTGAGAACTCTAAATACTTACAAGTTACTGGTAAAATAAAGGATGAACATATACTATATTTATTGATGACTTCTATAGTTAGGTTTTTATGTTTTAGTTATGTCTTTATTTTACAAAAATATTTATGAAGATGTAGGTAACATCTCTGAGTCAAGAAATAAGTAATGTGCAATTAAAATAAATATATGTAGCAAGTTAAATGAATCAAGAAAAGACAGAGTTCAAAGAATAATTAGGTATGATGTTTTCATATGGCAAATGTTTGATTAGGCAAAACTTTTATTTAAGCGAATTAATGAGTAATTAATGACTATTAATAATAGCCTTTATTCCACAGAGAGATGCATGTTGTTTCCACATTATATATGAGCCATAAAGACAATAAATAAGAGTTTAGTTTTCAAATGTGTAATAGTTGAGAGTTCTAGTCTTGACAATGAGTGAGAAGAATGAAGTGAGTGGTACCAGTTCTCTCTTTTGTGAAGCAGGAGTGTTTGTCTGGAACTTCAGGCTGGCGGGAGGAAAAGAATACTGACATCTGACAGCACGTTTTTCAGTAACGGGGCAGTGTCCGTTGCACATATTGAACTCCAAATTGTTCTAACTAGCCTAACACTAAAACGGAGAACGCTAATTATTGACACGCACCCATTCTGAGGGGTCTAGAGGCGTAATAGTGTAATGTACATTAACATGCTTATTCTCAATAGGGACCTAAGAGAAAATTACTGCCGAAATCCAGATGGGGCTGAGTCACCCTGGTGTTTTACCACTGATCCAAACATCCGAGTTGGCTACTGCTCCCAAATTCCAAAATGTGACGTGTCAAGAGGAGAAGGTAATAGTTGACATTTTGCAATATGGGCATGATTAAAATCAGGGAAACTGCCTAAAGGAAGCGCACAAAAGCTCATTCTCACTGCACTGCTTTTGCTGAAAAGCAAACAAAGTCCCCAAGTCTAAAATTGGATTTCTTTTTCATATTCATTTGCTCAATGTTTATTCACTTATCTGCCTGTATACCAATGCCAGACACAGTTCTAGGCACCGAACTTGGAAACAAAATATCCTTGGAAACAAAACAAAATTTTTTGACCCCTTAAAACTAAACTCTGGTAAAAAAAAAACAAGCTAAGTGAAAGCGAGGTCGGGGTAGTAAGTTAGTTTGTGGCGAGTGCTAGAGAGAAAGCGTTCCAGTTAGCATAGAGGGGTTTTGCTATTTTATATTTTATCTTGAGTCCTGGTACACAAATTTGTGCATGGGTGGGGTTCCTCAGCCTGGCCATCATACTTGTCCCATCATACTTGAAAACATAGATGCCATTGAAAGTAATTGTTCCAGGAGCAGTAGTAGAGAAAAGTCAGATTGAAATAGATTTTTTAAAAATCATTTGTCAAAGATCATTAATAATTTTGGGTTATGGGCATGTATTAATATATAGTAAACTGAGAGCTCTAATTTTTAAATAATTATTTTTTCACATAAATTTAATTATGAGAGTCATGGTCAGTCCTAAATTATTCTAAAAAGTCCAAGTCAAATTTAAAGCTTCATTTCGTATGTGTACTGTCCTATATATACTCATCCATCTTTAAAAATCTATCTCAGTGACATTTTTCACAAAAAAATCTGAACTCAGTTGCAAAGAGAAGAGAGGATGAGTCCCTTGTCAGTCAGTTTCACTGTTCTTTGGCAGATGTTAAAGGTCATTTGGAAATAAAGTTGAAACCAATGATTAAGGGAGTCTTGGTATTAGCTGGATGTTTTATTCATATTTTGTTTATTTAACCCTTACTGATAATTGTGATCATAGAGGCAAAAAAGAACAATTGCTTTATAAGCTTCTGATGTATATTAAGACACTTTTGTGTGCAGTACATAGATATAACTTACTAAAAGACCAGGTAATATAAAATGAAAGATTTTTTTTTTGTATTTTAGAATTTAAGTAGATGATACTGCTTATCTAAGAATGCACAAATTAAAAGACAAAGAAATTAGTTTTATAGAATTTAAATAACTTACCTAAATACTCAAATTAGCACAGCTGTGACTGAATGTAACTCTCCTTAAAGTGATCTTTTCATTATTCCATGCTTTATCTTTTTTACTAATGTTTCAACATTTATTGCATTGTTTTTTCTATAATACATTAAAACAAAGCACAGACTCTGTGGGGCAATTAAAAAATGAAGTCCTACTTAACAGACAATTCAACATACAGCGGTGAAATTTTAACATTGTTATGCTATTGTTTGAGATTGCCAAGCTAAGGGTGCCATACACCCCCTCAAACACACACACACACACACACACACACACACACACACACACACTCACTCACATACACTCACAAGAATGTAGCTGTTATTCTCTCCATATATCAGAAAATATAAATTTCACATATAGATTGATAAGTTAGAACTTTCTTCTTAAATCTTGCAACACCTGAATTAGCATATGTATAAATGCTCTTCTAATTGGATATTAAATAACTTTGTTTAAAAAACAAAATCTTGCCGAAACCGGTTTGGCTCAGTGGTAGAGCGTCGGTCTGCGGACTGAAAGGTCCCAGGTTCGATTCCGGTCAGGGGCATGTACGTTGGTTGCGGGCACATCCCCGGTAGTGGGTGTGCAAAAGGCAGTTGGTCGATGTTTCTCTCTCATCGACGTTTCTAGCTCTCTATCTCTCTCCCTTCCTCTCTGTAAAAAATCAATAAAATATATTTTTTTTAAAAATCTTAAATTACAGACTTTATAAATGTTGATAAAACACAATTTATTAGATTATGTGAGATACATTTAAGAGAATTCATAAGTCCGCATTTATATCACTCCTTCTACTACTGACAATAGTATTGCTACCACAACCACTGCTATTACTGGCAGTAATAATACCTAAATGGAAGGAGCAGGGGAGAACAAAACATTCATTTACAAGAAAATGACGACTAATAAATAGAGAAGTGTGGGAAATAGAAAAAAAATATATATATAACCATTTTAAAACCAGCGTAGAACTAATTCATGCAAAATTAACCGAAGTATGCCTAAGCCATTAAGTGATTATTACTTGGCAGTAGGATGTTTATTCAGCCTCAAAGGTCTCAACATTTTTTGTTTTTGTTGTTATAGCAAAATAATTTTTTTTTTTTTACACCACTTAACGAAGATATCAAACTCACCAGTAATAATGATAAAAACTCGGAAAAGAACAAAATATCACCTATTCAACATTCCTGTCTTTAACTTGATTTTATTCATGAGAAAATAAACGATGAAATTAAAGAGCATTTGCAAAACACTTGGCTTGGCCTGGATGTTGTGGCTAAGTGGCTGAGCATGGACCCCTGAACTAAGGTCACTGGTTCTATTCCTGGTTTGAGTCCCAATCAGGGCACATACCCAGGTTGTGGGTTGCAGGCTCAATCCCTAGTAAGGGGGTGTGCAGGTGGCAGTGCTCTCTAACATACGGGGATGTTTCTCGCATCTGTCTATCCCTCATCCTCCCTCTCTCTAAAACCAACATATTAAGAATAAACAAAACACAGCTGGCTTGGGTGACTCAGAATGCCAATCACATGAAAGATAAAATTAAATCACAACAAATGTGATGAGTATGTGAATGTTCATTATGTCATTCTTTTCTGAAGAAAATGTTGGGAAATATATATGTCATTCTAAAAATTCCCACTTTAAGAGTCCTTAAAAGCCACTCATTTAATTTTTTCTTTGATTTTTTTTAAAAATGTGCAGTTTACTGCATAAAAATCTCATTTTAATGAAAAAGAAATTTGGCTGAAAATAAAGTACTTTAGTTTGTACAGATTTTAGAGTGATTTAATTTTGTATATGACTTTTATGAATGTATATGCTCATAAAAATGTGTTTGTTCTATCTGTATTTCCTAGAATTCATTAGTTTTCCCCCCATATATTTATGTTTAGATTGTTATCGCGGGAATGGCAAAAATTATATGGGCAGTTTATCCAAAACACGATCTGGACTAACATGTTCAATGTGGGATAAGAACATGGAAGATTTACACCGGTGTGTACATTTTTTTTTTTTTACAATATATAGTATGTAGTGATAATAGTAATAGATATATTCAGATAACCACATTGCTATTTCTTTCCATTATATATTATCATAAGCTAACAAAAACATTAGATTGATTATTCATGCAACTCAATTTAATATTTTACCTCTAAGTAGCAAACTTTTAAATAAGAAATTCAAACCAGTACATACAAATCCAGTTAGAGGTATAGTTTTTATGTCTTGATTAGGATGGCCATGTAGATTTTGACTTCACTAATATTACTGAGGTAAATATGAATATCAATCTATAATAAGAAAAGCAAATATGCAAATTGACCAAAAGGTAGAACAGTGGAACGACCATCCAGGTGACCTTCTGGACGGCTTTCTGGATTTCCTTCCAGACGAAGTTAGGGCTTTGAGGGCTGAGGCAGCCAGGGCTGTGAGGGCCTGCTCACACATGAATTTTGTCTATTGGGCCTCTAGTGTTATATAAGCAAGTATGGTCTTATATACAGTATTTTTGCTTTCCTTTTGTAATAAATTTAGTGAAGATGTAAAATATTAAAAGCCAAAGTATTACTCAGTTACCTGTCAAGAAGTCACATTTTGTAACTCTATGACCAATGATATTTTATAATTTATTATTAATTTTTCAATGTTTCTTGTATTTTGGAATAGTTATTTTGCAAGAGATGCTTCATATATCGCTGAAACAAAAACATACTTTGCAATGGATTATGTTTTCTAGTTATTTTATAATATTGATGTTCTTTGTCGTCTGCTCTTTTTTTTGCCAATGTTTCTCCATTTCCATGCACAGGTATACTGTTGCCTTACCACTCCAATTATCAAATAGAAAAAAAGTCATAAAATCTTTCACAATTTAACTATGCTAATTATGCAGCCCTATTTCATATTCCTGAGCTAGAGAACATGCTTCCAAACTGTAGAAACAACAAAATAAATATCAAGCAAAATAATCAAAATTCATATCAGTTGAAGTTTGTGCCATATCTATAATGAAAGTTATGTGCTCGGGTTTTATCTTCTTGTTGACATTTTGCTTTTCTTGGACAAAATGAGCATCTTGTGATGTTCAGAGTGTTTGTTTATGCAGGCATATCTTCTGGGAACCAGATGCTAGCAAGCTAAATAAGAATTACTGTCGGAATCCTGATGATGATGCCCATGGCCCCTGGTGTTACACAGGAAATCCTCTCATTCCGTGGGATTACTGCCCTATTTCTCGTTGTAAGTATATTTAATGATCTTTTTCAGGTGAAATATTTTAAATATACTGCATCTTCTCTAAATTGGTATCTTAATAAGAGGTGAAAATAATAATATAGGAGGGATGCATTTGATCCCTTAATGAGAATGTACTACACACACACACACACACACACACACACACACACACACACACTTTCTTCCTCTTTCATCTAGACAAGGAGACATTCTGCTGAACTTTAAGTGTATGTGTGTGTGTGTATATATATATATATATATATATATATATATATATATATATATATATATGGAAAGGAGAGGGAGAGAGAGATAGAAACATCAAATGATATGAGAGAATCACTTATTGGCTGCCTCCTGCCCACCCCACACTGAGAACTGGGCATGCAACCCAATCAGGAATCGAACCATGACCTCGTGGTTTTTAGATCGATGCTCAACTACTAAGCTATGGCAACCAGGGCATTCTGCTGACCTTTTAAAAGAAGATTTTCCTTCCTTAGAAGATTCTAAAATTTAATTCGGAAATAATCATTGGTCATGGCTCTAATATGACTGCTCTAGGAAGAAAGCCCCATTCTCATCACCAGTACTATCTGTTTAGCCTTTGAATGTAGCAGAGCTTTCAGTAAAGGCCCACCCCACTAACCATCCCAGGAAGAGACTTGAGGTAGTGGTGCCTCTCTCTTCTCAGTTATTTAGCCCAAGACTAAGAAGTCTGGAGCATTCCATCTGCTCTCTGAGCCCAAGAGAATTTTGTTAAAAGAGTATTAGTGCATAAAGTAAAAAAAAAATACATGTAAAATACCGTATATGTCTGGTATACTTCACATAAAAGAGCTCCAATATATCAGTAAGAAAGAGATAACTCAGGAGAAAAATAAAGAAAATGAATCCTCAAAAATAAGTAGTGTTTCTCTGGTGTTCTGTTTTTCACACGTTAGAGTTTTTGTAGGTCCTGAAAATGTTCTTTTACAGAAGATGTCTTTCAAGTTTTAATGCTAAAACAAACAAGCAAACTTAGTACTTCTTTGACATACAGATTAAAAAAAAATAGCTAAAGGAATTAATTTTTCTAAATATTACTTTTACCTCAAGGAAAACTTATGTGATTAAGAATAAGGATGTCCAGCCGGCATGGCTCAGTGGTTGAGCATTGACCTATGAACCGGGTCACAGGTTCAATTCCTGGCCAGGGCATATGCCTGGATTGTGGGTTCACTCCTTAGTAGGGGGCATGGAGGAGGCAGCCAATCAATGATTCTCTCTCATTAATGTTTCTTGCTCTCTCACCCTCACCCTTCCTCTTTGTAATCAATAAAAACATATTTTTAAAAAAGACTGATAAAAGCTAGTATACTATCCAATGATCTAAAGTCTTGGTTGGCAAACTGTGGCTCGAGAGCCACATGTGGCTCTTTGGCCAATTGAGTGTGGCTCTTCCAAAAATACCACAGACTAGGTGAGTCTATTTTGAAGAAGTGGCATTAGAAGAAGTTTAAGTTTTAAAAAGTTGGCTCACAAAAGAAATTTCAGTCGTTGTACTGTTGATAATTGGCTCTGTTGACTAATGAGTTTGCTGACCACTGATCTAGGGAGAAGAAAAAAAACCAATGATCTGGCTTTTAAAACATCTTCTAATGCTTTTCCTACAGAATTCCAGATATTTAAAAATCCCGGTAGCTTAGTTTTAGCACATAAAGTAAAATGTTCCCATAGAATCTCTGGGAACTGTGCTTTGGATTACAGGGCTCTCATAATTTAAAAATTTTAAAAACATATTTCCAACTAACATTTTAAAACTAAAAGTTATCATGTGCTATTGAAAGACTTCAAGGTATTGCTAGTATTTGATTAAATGCTATTGCAGATAACTCATTTTTATTTCAATTTATTCTAAACATTAATTTTAATAAATATTTTTACACTGTCATCTTTCTAACTAATATTTATAGCCAGGATTTATTTACATTTTACCACTGTTGAAAGGCTAATAAAATTTATCTTTAGAAGATTTGAGGTCTTATTTATTTAACTGCAGAGACTATATAAATCATTTTTGTACTATACAATTGTGGTACAAAACATGTAAAGGTTTTATTACCTTACAAAATTATACCTAACATATTTTTAACATCAAATATGCAAAAATAAGACTGGAGAAATGTTTAGACATTTATCTGTGCACAAACACAATATAGCTTAGAAAAAAATATTAGTTTTTAACAACTAGAGAATAGTGATTTAGAGCTTTATCTCTGACCTCTGGGTAAGAATTCTAACCCTATCACTATAAGTGTCTTGGGCAAGTTATTACAATTAAGTATGTATTTACTTATTCATTTTTAACAATTTAAAATTGAGTTACTATTGTGTGCAAAGCCCTATATAATACTCTAGATATACAACAATATAAACAATGTTTCTTAACTTTACATAGTTTTCAGTGTAGAAAGGAGACATTTATGTAAATAATTGCAAATATAATTATTTAATAAATATATTTCATATTAAAATAAACAATGAGAATGGGAGCATCGATATCTGCCTGGAGAAATATATGATGCTCATAAAGTTTTGAACCTGACTCAAAAAATTTAAGAATATGTTAGTAGGTTTCTTTTGTTTTCAATAACAGCTTATAGTTTGAATCTGAGGCCATAGAATCACACAACACGTAAATACAACTTTTATCATTGACATGTTTTCCTTCTTCAAAATATAAGTTGAATCAATACATATATATATATATATTTTTATTTTTATTTTTTCATATTTGAATACTATGGTGGAGATACTTGGAAAGAAGTAAAAGAGGAAAATTGAAAATAGTATTTGATGGTAAAATAGAAAAAGCCTAGAGAGCAGTTTTTCAAGATTTTGCTCAAAGTGTACAGCAGAAGAAACTGGAATGCTTTTTAAAAATTCACAATCTAGCCTTCAACTCAGAATCTCCAGAAATCTGACTTTAAGTTGTATTTTAGCTAATTCTAATATGGGAGAAATATTTGCTCACATGAAATTATATATATGTATATATTATCAATGATTAATTTATATTAACATCAATGATATTAATTAATTATTATTAAAGCCCACAATTTACTATGTGTATATATTTTTAAATTTTAAATATTTTAGTAAAGTACAATAATTAACTAAATACTGTGTTGTTCTATTAGCTTGATACTTAGAAAAACTCGATATGCAATTAAGGATAGAATAAATAGTCTTTCTTGGCAGGACAAAATAAGAAATAAAAATATAGTTTTTTATTTAAAAATTTTTAAGTACTTGACTTGAGTGGAAAAACCAATGTCCTTGATGTTTTAATGACCCACAGTCAGCCTCAATCCTTATTTGTAATATAAACTAAAACCTTGACCTCAGCTGACTAAGACAAAACCCTCCCTCAGGATAAGCTAAAGGGAAAGCAAATAATGAAATTTACCTTTATTCATTTAAATGTCTTAGACCTGGTAAATGAGCTTCAATAAAAACCCTTGAGATTCTCTATAAATAACAATCAAATTTGCATCTATTATAGAGGAATCCATATGCCATTATTCTCTTGTTGTTGGTTTATTTGAGCTCAGAGCATTTTCAGGGATTAACAACAATCTGTGTCTAAACAGCGCTTGACTAAACTCTATGCCATCAATTCTGAACAGTCAGACATTAAACTCCAGGAAATGAATTGTGCCTCATTTGTTACTACATAAGTTCTCTCAAATCCTAGCATCTCTTTGTAACAATTAAGCCTCAGTAAGGAAGTTATGAAAAAAGAGTAAGTTATGAAGTTTTAGTTAGAATTAATTTCTAGTTTCTAGTGTTCTCTTTTCCCCACATTTTTTACTATCATCTGGAAAAATTAATTTTGAAATATTCTAAGAAAAAAAAGTTACATTGGTTTTGATTTCTACCTTCTGGAATTCTTAAGGTTTTCTGAAGCATGTAAAGTTTCAATTATCCTCAACTGTATTTTTTAAAAATAATTTTCAGAAAAAATATAAACAGGCCACATGACAATAAAAACATAATGTATCGACATGAATGGCACAAGCAAGCAATAATAAGTATTAGTGCTATTAAATGAAATGGTCCCTGTGTGCAGTGTTGGGGATCTTGGTAGTGAGGCAGCTTCTTGATGCCAGTAGACACCCTCCACAGTCATAAAACAGGGCTTTCTCCACATCACCCCCTACCAGTAGGCACACACCTTCCCTATTGTCGAGTAAAAATGATACATAATTACTCAAAAGAGTACTATTACATTTTGTCTTTGAATAAAATGTCAATAATTTTAGTAAATTATCCAATTCGTGGATTTTCAATCTCAGTATATAGCTTTGGTTTTATATTACAGAAATATGTATGTATGAATTATGTATATATGTACATACTTATTTTTACAGGTGAAGGTGATACCACACCTACAATAGTCAACTTAGACCGTAAGTAATATTGTGTATATTTGTGTATATTTGTGTTTATTTGTATATTTTGTATATTTTGTATATTTGTGTCTCTATGTGTCAGAAATGAACCATTACTTTCTTCATAGGAAAATACCTTATCACTATATTAACTTCCATTATAAAAATAAGTTGGTCTATTTTTACTTTTTTTTTTTTTGGATGTACATATGTAGGGGGATACAAAGGTAACTGCATACTAAATATCAAAATTCAATTCTGTTATCAGACATTATAAGAAGTTATATTTAACCTTGAAAAAGCATTTATATTTCTTATAATTCTGGCCAAAATGTATGTATGGACATTTACCCTCTTTTTAAGTTAATAAAGATGCAAAAATCAAAAGATTGGGAAATTATGCAGCATCTCTATCCCGCTCTATTTTAAAGTTCTTAGCATGCTCTACTAGGCCAAAGATGACATAGACTGAGAGGTTCGGTTAATTTTCAATTTAAGAAAATCTGTTGAGAGCCACTGATTTTTAATTTTTGCTAGGATAAGGCAAGGAATAAAGAGGAGGGTCAGGAAAAAGTTTACCTCAGAGGATTCTATATTGTCATTTGGATATAATGATTTGAATGTAGTGGTTATGTCATTCGGGTACAATATCAATAATTAGAATATTGATAACTTATTTTAAAATTGCTATACATTCTGACTTTACTATTTCAGAAATAATAAACCCAATATATTTCTGTTTGTTTGTCTTGTTCAGGCTATTGGTTTGTGTTGGCATTTAGAAATTACCACCATAAATGATATAAATTTTATGTTGAGAGTGGTGGGGGAAATATAGACATGGAGAACTCTACTTTCTTAGTGCAGGGTGAGGAAAGCCACTGTTGCTCTCATAGCAATGCTGTTGACATTGAGTTGATTAGTTTTTCTGTGTTGCTCATCTATGATGAGAATTGCAAACATTTTGGGCCTAATTTGGCACTGTAGCCATAAAACATTTTCACCATCAAATGTTCTTCTTACAGAATTATGGTGGTTACATTTGCCTAGGTACCTTTGCCGAGCACCACAGTATTAAAAAATGTTTAGTTAAAATGTTAAGGGGAGTGGGGTGAGGGTGACTAGATTAAAAAAGTGAAGGAAACAGCTAAAGAATATATGTGCATACCCCATGGACATGGACAACCATTTGTAAGGACCAAGGAAGGCAGAGACAGGGGAGAGTGAAGGTGGGCAAATGTGGGAAGGAGGACTCCTGCAATAATATCAACATTCATTTTTAAAATTAAAACCATTTATGTATATAAATCATGTATAGCAGTTATATTTGGTTCTCTCTTTAGATCCTGTAATATCTTGTGCCAAAACAAAACAATTACGAGTTGTAAATGGAATTCCAACACGAACAAATGTAGGATGGATGGTTAGTTTGAAATACAGGTAATTATTAATGATACAAATCATATGTATTTGGCTTATTCACAGAAGATGCATTCCCATCATTAAAATATGATCTTAAAACTTTCTGTATACTGCATATATTATACCATATGGTAATCAGAATGTTAAAATATTTTTGTCAATAACCATCTTTACCAGAGCCCCATCACTTAACAATGAACCTGAATTTTAACTATGTTTTCTATTGTTTTTAAGGTACCTTACATTTCCCCTCCAAGCCTTTGTGCTATTCTTCCCACTACATGTTGTAGCTTTCTCCCTCCATATTTTGTGCTTGGAAAATCCTTCTCATTCTTCAAATGCTAACTGAAATATATCTTGTTTTGGGAAACCCTCTCTGTTCCTTTAACTAGAGAAGAGAAAGAAAGTACATATTTTACTACAATTAAGTCACAGTGATACTAAAGTAGAATAGAGACAACTTGAAATCGACGTTCTTGTATGAATAAGCCAATTCTTAGCAAACAGAACCCTTTGATATATACCAGATAGAAGATGGTCTAAAGTTCTCTTTCAGTATGCCTTCCTTTTGAGCAATAAATGACAACTTTTATAAATATGTGTGATGATAATTGTAGGGTAGCTGTCCTAGGTGTGTAGTACTGAAATAGAGTTGTGAAACCTACCAGAATTTTAAAGCTAATTGTAGATGAAGATTTAATGAAGGCTCCAAAATTTATGGAGACTGTTTCATTCTATTTATTATAGAAAATCTTTCAAAAATCTACATCTCTAAAATAATTAGTTATTTTTTTGCAAATCTCATAACTCCATAAAAAAGAGATATGTACATATGAATTTATTATTATCAATACAATATATAAGGATACTCCTTTGAAAGTTTCTGTGGAGAAGTAGATAAAAACTGTTTTTCATTAGATCAGATTACTATAAACTTTTAGGGGAAAATATTTTTCTTTTAAATCCAAGTTCTCTAGTAGAAACAACAGCTGTTTAGTTATTCTTCCAAAACACACACTGAGAGGAACAGAAATTAAAACACGATATATACTCTTATCCTCCTGTGTGGTACAGGCCATAAATAACCATGGTCTGAATCTGGGAATCTTTTGCTATTATTCTCACAAGCAATGAACATCTGTACACTTTGGAAATGTAAGTTGTGAAAAGTTGTACTTTTTAAAAATTTCTCTGCCAAAAACAATGGATTTACAGATTTTGGATATCACCAAAATAAATGTACTAGTATTTGTTATTCTCCACAAATATCTTAAAATTTTCCAGATGATATGTCTTGCAAACTTGTTTTAATGATATGTTGCTGGTCTTGAACTGAACAAACAAATGTATTCAAACTCGATTGTATTTTAAGTTAATATATCAGAGCTAAATAATAGTAATGAATGAAGGAAATAGTGTCCAAATTTTACATATTGCTGCCACCACATGTCTTTTAGTTTAAATAAAAACTTAAATTTGCATTTTTTATAATTAAACACTGAAGAAATTATGTTATTTTTATGGTTCATATTTTTATAATTATCCTATATTTGTAGCACATACTTTCTCTCATAAGGAATGAGTCCTGGTATGTAGTGACATGGTTCCAAATACAAAAATAAAGTCGATTTCATAAAATTGTAATCACATTATGAAAAAAAAAATGCTAACACTGCAGTAATCAAACATCTCTTTCTGATAAAAGGATTACTCATTTGATTCTAGTTGGGTTAATTTCTACATTTTTCTCTCAAATGCATTTATTTTTAACAAATATAGCCATAGATTTTGAGTTAATTGGCAGCCAACCTTGCACAGATGTTACTTGTTTCTCTTTCCTCTTTCTTGCAGAAATAAACATATCTGTGGAGGATCATTGATAAAGGAAAGTTGGATTCTTACCGCAAGGCAGTGTTTCCCTTCTCGGTAAAGTGTTTCTGAAACCAATTATTTGTTTTGAGCAGTTAAAAATATGCATGGCTTCCACTTAAGCTTTTAGACTTAGTATGCGTATTTATTTAACAGAGATTTACCATCATAGGGTGAAGACACTATTTTTTATTTTTTAAGATTTAGCTAACAAAACTTTCTTTGACTTAATTATATTTATTTACTGGATACTGTTTTTATTCACCTTTTCCCACAATTGGCATTACTCTAATTTGAGTGGGAAATTGCAAGAATTATGCAAATAATTTAATTACAACATCTTGCATTCTATATTTTTAGATAGAAATTCTTTTTCTGTTTTTGTTTCTTCTTATTATTGAATTTAGTAAATTATCAAAAACTTTCTCCCAATCCTCATTTCTGCTTTCTTGTGGAGAGAGAGAGAAAGCCTCCAAATCATCCTGGGCCTAATTTCCAATGAAACTTGGTCTAAGGAAAAGACAGGAGGCAGCATTTGTAAGCTAACTTCCTGATTCTCATCAAGATCACTCCGATTTTGTTAATATAAATTTTCAACCCCCAGTAAGAAACCAAACATACACACAGCTGAAGTAAAAGGAAACTTTGTAGTAAAATTGCCTGAAAAAAAATTTTCTCTCTAGCAAAACATAATCAAAATTTTTGAAATGGCCATTGAGATGTTCATCAGTTTATAAGCTATTTCTTATATGTACTTTTAGCCATCAGAACTTTGCATAATAAATATGTTGCTCTTTATTATATTTTGAATGAAATTTTATATTTAGTTGATTTTTTTTCTGTACTTATAAGCTAAAATAATATATATGAATAATCTTACACAATTTAAAATTATATTTTACCCTTTTTTGTTTTTTTACTTAGAAACAGAGACTTGAAAGACTATGAAGTTTGGCTTGGAATTCATGATGTCCATGGGAGAGGAGATGAGAAACGCAAACAGGTTCTCAACGTTTCCCAGGTGGTATACGGGCCAGAAGGATCAGATCTGGTATTACTAAAGCTTGCTAGGTTAGTCCCCATAGGAGGATTTGCATTTTTAACCTAGAATGAAATTGTTAAAGCTCTTTCCACTGTGTGGTTATTCGTCCGCTCTTATGTAGATTTGTTATAAAAATGTAAATCATGTATTATATATGAACGTATACATGTATATATGTGTGTATAACTAATTTACCTACCATCTATTACAGATTTCTAAATTATATATTAAAGATTCCCTTTTTTCTCTTTCTTAAGAAACAGGACTTTTTATTCTCTCTAAATATCATATTAAATATTAATACTACATTTCAACCTGTTAATTTGTACTGAATCCAATCAAGAATGCTACCCTTATATTTTGTCTTTTCAGACCTGCTGTCCTGGATAATTTTGTTAGTACAATTGATTTACCCAATTATGGATGCATAATTCCTGAAAAAACCACTTGCAGTGTTTACGGCTGGGGCTACACTGGATGTAAGTTATTTTTCATAAGGAAATACCATATTTATGTTATTTAAAAAATTTATTTGTTTCTTATTTTTCTCACCTTACCCTGTGCTCACTATCTGTACATTTTTTTCCCACCACTCTAGCCATCAACTTTGATGGTCTATTACGAGTAGCACATCTCTTTATTATGGGGAATGAGAAATGCAGCCAGTATCATCAAGGGAAGGTGACTCTGAATGAATCTGAAATATGTGCTGGAGCGGAAAATATTGCCGCGGGACCATGCGAGGTAAAAAGAGAGCTTTTTAAATAAGGCATAAGTGATTAGTAGCATAGTTTCTCACGTTTATTTTTTGTCTATATTTTTCAAACAAAAATCATCGTACACCAACATGTTCCAAGAGAGAGGAATTGGGAAAGATAACCTGGTATTATCTTTGTACTTTTTATTTGAACTAAACAGTGATACAATCCATGTTTCATTAGCAGTAAACTATGATGGCATTTGCCTCTAAAAACAACACACACACACACACACACACAAAAAAAAAAAAAAAAAAAAAAAAAAAAAACCCAAACAAAAAGCCCCAATAAACTGACAGAGCCAGAACTCTAAAAGAAGTTGTTCTAATGAAAAACATACAATAGGAGGTTGATATAACAGCTTTAATTGTTCTAAAGTTTTTCTCAAATTTATCTAATCTTCCCAAATTCTCCCTAAATGGACTATATTAATAATTTTATTAAGAAATATCTGTCTAACCCAACCAGTGTGGCTCAGTGGTTGAGAGGCCACATGAGGGTCCACATGCCCCGGTTTGCAGGCTCACTCCCTAGGAGGGGTGTGCAGGAGGCAGCTGATCAATGATTCTCTCTCATCAGTTATGTTTTTGTCTCTCCCTGTCCCTCTCTCTGAAATCAATAACAAAAACATATATTTTTTAAAAGAAATACCTTAGCTTTTAACTTTTAAATCTGTTTTCCATTAAGTCTCTCTCTCTCTCTCTGGGTGTGTGTGTGTGTGTGTGTGTGTGTGTGTGTGTGTGTTAACAAATTCTATTTTAAAAACCAAAAGGTCAAAGTCTATGACTGTAAGACTTTGGACATTATAATTTGTTAGGCAACTGTTCTTTCAACTTGGCAGTGTTCCTATCCCTGTGTTACATAGACAAGCTGTTAAACTGTTACTTTAGATGTATTTCTGAATGTAAGAGACACACTCCTCACGCCTGGGAGCTGTGGAATTGTAGAATTTTATGCGTAGCGAAGCATAGAATGAGTTCAGTATTAGTGAAATGTCTTTGGACATGGCCTAAGCATGGAGTATTAATATGTATAGAAGTGCTTGTGTTAAAGACATTGCTCAGACTTATTCCTGAAAAGAAAGCATTTACTTAGTTAAGGATATTTTAAAATTGCTTAAAATGATATGGTTAGAAACAGATTATGTATGTATAACTACTTTTAAATTCCCTATTTTCCAGTAACTCAGTATTACTGTGTTCATTATAACAAATGAAAAGAATAAGGAGAAAGGAATCCTCCCTCCCTCCCTCCCTGCCTCCTTCCTTCTCCCCTCCTCCCCACAAGAGCCCTGTGAGCATGAAGTTTGAGTTAGACCCAATGTTTGCTATCATTTAAGAAGCTATGCACTTTTCCCAGCCCTCCTGCCATTACTAACAATGCTTTGGCAACTGTTCTTCAGGAATAACCTGTAATCAGGTTTATCCATCTATACAGTCTTAGATTCCTAACGTTAGCATTGGAGTTTTCATCGTATTATCACATATTTGTTATTTCTATTATAGGGACAAGATTTGACTTCAAGTTGATCCTACCACTTCTCAAAAATAGATTTGTCCTCTAGAATTTTTTTTTTTAAAACAGGGCAATAAATCACTGAAACCACTGAAATCTAAACACTTAAAAAAGAAATCTCCCAAATGTTTGTAGCATCACATTTAGTAAAAGTTACCAGATGTAAATTGCTTTGACGATAACGCAGTTTACTGGTGATTTTATTTTAAAATCAAATGTATTAACTCATGTGGCACGATTTATATGAAGTCTCATAGAATAGACTATATTTTTACTGTTTTATATTCTACTTCACCCTTACTTTGATTTTCCCCATCATAGAATGTTGATAGCTCTCTTATTTCCATCTGTATCACAGAACTAAGTGTAGCAGTTTAGTTCTATCTCATCATGTCACTGTTGTGAGAGAATTAAAATAGTTGCAAATACTCTTCTTCATACCAGGATGCTGAAAGTCATTTATCACAATTGTAGGGGGCTACATAGTTCATGAAGGTGATGAAAAACATTTATAATGATTATATACAACAATATGTGTCAATATAGGGTGGGGGCAAAAGTAGGTTTACAGTTATGAGTATGCAAAATAGTGTTTATTCTTGTAATCTTATATATTCATTATTGTATTATTTTTCGTACAAAAAACTGTAAGCCTACTTTGCTCTACCCCATATATGTGACTATAAAAATATACACAAAAATATCTATTCATCTAGCTATCACATATCTATATTTAATGATATAATAGAGTTACCATACAAAAATGCCATAAAATCACGGGCTGCCTTCCACAATGAGGGGTATAAAATATAAACGTAATTATGTGTAACTACTAATGCCAATAGTAAGTACAAAAGCATTCCTTTTTTTATGCCCGGAAAAGCAATATTTAAACAGTAAATAAAATTATTTTTTTCAATTACATGTTTTTGTTTCACTTGTTAATATCATTTTAGAGACAGGATTGGAGGAAGGAACAAAAAGCTTTAGAAATAAAACTTAATGCAATTTAATCATTAAACATGTATAAGTACAGGTGGGTTTTTTGGTACTTGCATTGTTCTACATTTTTAAAAATATTCTCTTGAACATATTTTAAATATCAGAAGAAAGTAAAAATAAATATAAAAGCTACCTTCTCAAATAGCTACCAGTGGCTAGGTGTTAGTATGAATTCAAAAGAGGCAAAATCCACTTTCAAAGATAAAAAATATGTCATTCTCAAATGAATACTACACATTATAGGACACTTGCAACTTTTGTACTTATCTCAGTCTTACTTGGTTAGCTCAATAGAAATATAATGAATGGTTTAGTACATACATTTTATTTAAATTACAGTTATTCTCTTTTTTGTATATATGTGCCTTTGAGATACAAATCTATATAGAAAATGTTAAGGAGTCATTTTTATTTCTAAAATAATACTTTGTTGTTGCTATTGTCACATGTCTTCTTCCTAGGGGGATTATGGTGGCCCGCTTATTTGTGAACAACATAAAATGAGAATGGTTCTTGGTGTCATTGTTCCTGGCCGTGGATGTGCCATTGCAAATCGTCCTGGCATTTTTGTCCGAGTAGCATATTATGCCAAATGGATACATAAAGTTATATTAACATATAAGGTACCACCGTCATAGCTAATGTAACTGTGCCTGAAGTTTCCATCAATACAACTCTCTTTTACATGAGGATTCAGAGAACATGGAATTAAAATGTCACTTAAAACAATCCTAAGACACTTGAGTGTCATGTTTGTTAGATACTCAATAATATTTATGAGTGTTTTCTGTTGTTTTGTTTGTGAGTGTTATTTTGTAAATGTTGAAGTGAACTAAGGTACATGCAAGTGCAGTAACATATCTCCTGAAGATACTTGAATGGATTAAAAAAAATGCAAAGGTAAAATTGCTGGATGATAAAAGACTTAATGGGAAAATCAATCTCTCTACACTGCTTTCCAAGGTTAGTTTCTTAAGAATGAATGCACCATAAGTTAAAATTATTTTAACCTCACAAAAATAATTTATATCTTGTTTTTTAAAAATTGTAACTCAATATAAGTTATATTATCTTTCATATGCCATACATTATATTTCATTTGTTCCTCCTTACTGTGTATCCTGTAATACTAGTAACATACTTTTCATAAGAACTTGTACCCATTTAGACAACCCTGGGTGCACTAGAGTTTCAAATTGTGGTGTTATCTAGTGTAACCCTTAAATATTCTGAAAGAGTACTTACAGTTTTTCCTTAAGAAAAACAAACAAACATAAAGACCAGTAGAAATATTAAGAAAAGGTGAAAAAAAAATGACAAGCTCATCCTGATATGCAATCTGCAAATGACCTCAAGGGTTGGCATTGAGGGTGTGTTTGTGACCCACAAAGTTAAATTACACCTAATCTAGGTGGCTACATATATTTATCATCCTCGTTATTTTATGTAGTTTCTAATTCTTAAAGGGAAGAGAGTGATAGGTGTATTAGTGCCATTCCTTTCTTCCAAATTTGGGGCCACTTTTTTATGTAAGATATTTTTAGATTTATTTTCCTATAGTATTTTTTAAAATCTTAGATGAATATGCAATTGAAGTTTAAAAGTATTCTTAAACATTATTTCAGGGAAAATTTTTCATGTCTCCAAAGATTTGCAAATAAACCTTTTCAAATTATTCATTAAAGTATATATTGAAGAAAAAAATCGAAATCCTTTTTTTTTTTCTACCTGGAAGTTTTTAGCCTAATAAAACTTTACTCAAGTAAAGGAAAAATGTAAAATAAAAGGAAAAAAATGACTTGTCCAAACTCTTTGTATTCAATTTTTTAAAAAATTGAATCTGCTAAATGGGCTATTTTATCAAGATAGCTTTATTTGATCTTAACTTCATCTTACATAGATATTTCCTAACACCATGGGGAATAGTCATTTAAATTTTATATTCTGTATGATAATAACTGAATTATCATATTACTGTATTTGTTGTGATGAGCTGAATATCATTTATTGTCAATGAATAGAAAAAGAGTAATAGGATAGGTTCTGAATTTTTACAAAATTTTTCCTTATAGAAGATCTTTAAAAATAATGATTTGAATGATTCAAATCCAGCATCCCCACTTCTCCAACTAGTTTCTCTAGCATGATGTTTATTAAGGCCAAGGATTTTATTAAAGGGTAAAAACAGAAACACCAATAAACCATCAGACATGGGGCACAAAGCAGTTCTCCCCTTGGGAAGTTTTCTTTGTAATAGAGGGAAATGGGAGGAATTGACAATAAAAGCAAGATGAACAAAATCTGTGCTATTTTAGGTGGTAGAACAGGGTATAATCATATATTTTTATCTAGTGAAGGATACTATTATCTGGGCATTCTTTTCTTAATAAACTACAAACATGAAAAATCCAATTTATCCCCAAATCCATTTCATTGTGAGTCACGGACCAAACTATCTTTCAAATGAGAAGTTTTCATTGCTATTTTTGTTTTGGCTGTTTGAATAATGGTCATATATTGTTATAATTATGGACATTTTCTGATGTCTACCAGGAATAGTAATGTAAAATTAAAATGTGTGTCATAATGCCTCTGCTGTGCAGAAGGGATGATAATCCTTTTGTATGCTTCTTTAATTTTATTGTAAACTATGTAATGACTTTTACCTATGTGCTGTGGGCAGGTCCTCAGTAAAATGGTTTCTATTGAATCAATCTCTAGTATCAACAGGCTCTTGCTTGCTATCTCAGTGTTTCAAAACTGTGGGAAATGTGAAACACTGGAAAGCAAGAAAAATAACAATAATGGTATGTGATAGCAAAATTGTATTTCACTTATTCCTGTGAATATTTCTTGTTGGTACCAATGGTACTGTACAAAGTGGATGTTATAGCCACAACATTCTCTTGAAGAAAAGAAACACTGTCAAGAAGTTAAAAATTGCTGTCAGGCATTTTCTTGTTGCTTCAAAACATGTTTTTAAAGAAATACTGGTTTTGCAATGTAGGGATCATGGTGTAAATAATTTTAATAAATGCTAATACTAAAAAACATTAAAGTGATGATTTACTAAGGTTCAAAATTGACTACTTTCAAATAATTATATCTCATATTTATAGACAAACTCATTTGATAAAAAATAACTTGAGTAAAAAGACATAGTGTGAACAAATTACTTTTCACAACAAAGCTACAAAATAGGTTGTCTTTAAAGTTCAACTAAGGTCTGAATATACTAATACAAAAAAAGAAATTATTCTATCCATTAAAACTCTGGGCCTTATATAATCTTGACAGTGTAATTTTAAGTAGATAACTTCCATTTGCACAAAAGTTTCTGTCTTTTAGAAACTGAAAATGGAATAGTGTGGATGTTATGACTGTTTATGTTGTGTGTAAATAGGAAATTGATAAGCTGCCTATTCAGTGGTATAGCAGGATGCTTACCCAAAAAGGGAACACTGTGGTTATGACATATATGAAGTGTCTGTAGTTAATAAAGTTGTTATTTTTATAACCATGATTATATTAATATTATTCTTAATGATAATAAAATATTTTACCAAAATGCTTCCCTTCTCTTATTATAATGATATTCTAATATATGAACATATTTGAATCTGCTGTAGTGCTTAATGCAATAAATGACAATTATTTTAATAACATGCAAATAAAAGGGCACATCAGTAACACTATAACCTGATGAACAAAAAGATAGATACAGAGGCAGTAAAGCACCGAACAGACTGTCAAATTACAGCAGAAAGGCTGGGAAGTGTTGCGGGGGGTGTAGGGGGAAATCAACCAAAGGACTTGTATGCATAGGCAATAGACAAAAGACACTGGGGAGGTGGGATGAGGGCATGCGACAGGAAATGGGGGAAGCTGGGGGAAGTTCAATGGGGGGGGGGAGGAGATATTTGTACTACTATATGTAATATTTTAAACAATAAAATAAATATTTTCAATAATGAAGATAAATTAAAAAAAAGAAATGCCATATAACCTGTTTATAGAACTTAAGATAAAAGTTATTATTTTATTCCAATATATATCCATGGCAATAACAGTAGCCTTTATTAAACCATTAATTTCTGTGCACTTCAATTTCTTCCACTGTGAAATAATGTCATCCTTCATATTTGCTAGAATGGCGCTATGATATAATTTGCTAATATATATATAATATTATCATGAATGATCACCTACATGTCTTTACTATATCACTCTCTATTACAAAGATAATCATAGATAATTCAATTAATTAATTTGGGGTACATCTTCAAAATAGATATTAAACTCAGAATAAATATGAACCAAATGGGTTCATTTAATTCAAATTGCAAGGAAGTTTGAAAGGACTAATTATCAACTGATCAAACCAAAAGGAGCTCAGTAACACTACTGGTTATTTCAAGTTATGCTATTCTGCCTCTTCCCAAAAGGGTTGCTCTATCTTTTATGCTATAAATAATTATGTCACAATTAATGGATCTGTTTCTAGAGCCCATGATAAAATATCTGATCTTCTTCATGATTTTAATGCAAGCAGAATATATGCACTTATTAATTTGGGGTGTTAGTTTCTTTAATAGATAGCACTGAACAGTTTCTCAAGCAGTGTAAATATCTGGAATCTGATAAATAAAACTTGGACAATAATGTTATTAGCTTTTTAATATCAGTTATTTATTCACTCTTACAAATTGTAATGCTTTAATTAGTGACCATGTTTTAGTGTTCAAAACAGAATCACCTTAGTTGGCATTTTCTCAATGTGTTAGTCCAGAATTTTTATCATAATTCTATGATAAAATAGATAAACAACAACTTTAAATAGATAAACAGCAACATCAAACAAAACTGTCAGTCTAACTTTAACTCTGAACTAGCTTTGGACTCTCCTCTCTCCCAAATACTCCTGAACACTCATCACTTTATTTCATCATTTGGACCATTACTTCCCAGGTAGACGTCATGGCTGCATTGAACAGTTCTGTGAACATTAAGCTTTTCTTTAACTCTTCAAAACCTTCAACTGTCATGTAATTTCTCTGTGAAGCCATCTTCAGCATCCTCAGAAATCTTCCCTTCCCCAGCCTACCACTGGGTTTGCTAAAGCTTTCTGGTCACTTGTTATAATAGTCTTCCTATAACTATATGAAGTTGATTTTTTTTTTTTTGCTTTGTATTTAATGTGCAATCTACCTCCACCCCATTTAAACTCTTTGGAGACAATAGATTTATCTTGATATTAATATTTATATATTCTATATTTTGCACAGTGCTTCATACATAATAATAACCTATATATTTTATAATTATTCAATAATCTATCATCTTTTTGAAGGTGTGTCAGTATAACCCAGAGATAGATAATATTTATAGAAATTAGACAACTCTCATTGAGGACTAAGAATTTTAGAGTTTTGTATTTAATTGTATTGTGTAAGTTTGAAATAATAAATGGGACTATTTTTAAGTGGTTTATATATTTCAAATACTAGAAGATTTAGTTAGAAAAGAGAAAGCATTAACTCTAAAGATATAATACATATATATTTATAAATGTTTGTTAATAGATACAGGTGTTTACTTCATACAACCTAATACATTGGTGAACATTGGTGATCATTTC